ACGTCCTCCTTACGTATTGATCGTGCACCTCGTCCATTTAGCAAATTAAACTGCAAACGCGAACCAATATAAATTTACCATTCCCCGCCCCCTTCCCCGCCAACCCCGCCTCGCCTTTGCTGTCACTGTAATATCACATTAACCCGAAACTACGTAAGTTGGGGGCTAATGCGGTATTAATGTTATTCACAGTAATTAGCCCGAGGCAGAACGGGGTCACACTTAGTTCCAACTGTCTAAATAATTCCAAGTTCCCTTGTGGCGTGTGCATAGTTACTAAGAATCCTTTCAGCAAATTTAGGTGCTAACTAAATTATAATGTAACAACTGCGTCATTCAATTCTAAATAGACAAATAATGAGTTTTATTTAAGTGTGAAACAATACATTAATATTACTTTAAGCAAATTTTTTGTCGTAAATATCTGAAATTTCTATCCAATTTATCATTTGTCAAAGGAACTACGCCAATATTTTGTAAGCTTTGTCTAGATCAGCTTATTTTTGCGCTCTTTGATACCTCTGCCTTTATTTCTGTTTTAGATGCAATTTAATGTTTTACTATTCCTTTCTATTACGTAGATAACGTTGCAATAGTGTAACCTGTCGAAAGATACTCTTTGGAAGGTCCATTCAGTAGTCGACTTCTTAACATTGAAACATAGTTAAAATATTTTTTTTATTTTTATTTAGTTTTTAGTGCCAACATAAAGGAGTTGACACTGCAACGAATCTTTCAATCTGGTTGAATATCATCTGTTAGGTATGGCTAAGATGAAATTTGATTTACACTTACCTATTTAATTTTGTCGTTGAATTGTTGAGGCAGCACGAAGACTGCATCATCTGGCAAAGACTCCTCTTAGTTGCGTGAAAATATTTTATATATTACGCCACAGTGATTCTAAAAATTTCGTATCTGAATTTGATATTACAAATTGTGTTAAAACATTTCTAGTCAATTCCTCTGGTTAATTTTGTCATAAAACTCTTAAGCAATTGAACAACTTGTAGCTTTATCGTATTCTTCCTTTTCATTTACCTTATGTTTGTTTCTGCCCAAAGTCTAAAGTTCTGGATGTTTTGTAGTGGTCTTTTACAAGAAGTTTGTTAACACATGTATTTTTAAGCTGTACATTCCTGTCCAATACCTTGATAATATTTAGCAATGCTGTGAAGATTCCTTCAGAGGTACGTTTAGGCTTCTTCATAGAAGGTAAAAAACGTGTACAGGATCGCATCAAACAGAAATGCGTAATCTTTAGGTAATACGCGTGAGTATATGCTTGTCTGTTTAATTCAATAGTTACTTATTTTTATCTTATATTTATAATGCTAATGGAATTTAAAAAGAAAGAAACAATATAAATTTGTCACATAAATTTATTCCCAATCTTTGGACCCTATAATGCTTTAAAACTAATAATAACATAAATACAACACTGCGATAAATTAATTATATAGTTGAAACAGAGATTTATGTCGGCGACAGCACCGACATACATTCAAACCTCTGTAGTCTGTACGATATAAACAAAAACAATCTCGCCACGGCCTCAGCTCTCAACACAAGACGCGTAGAAGCAATCTCTACAAAGCAAAAGTCAAAGCTCAACTCTCAATAATTAAATCTAATCGATGATCTAAACTAGAAATCTATCATTAATTTAGTACTAATATTGTTTATTATTACAAGAATATTGACAATATATTAAACATGTCATTTTTTGCAGATATAATTTGATTATAACAAGACAAAAGGCTTCAAGAATAGTTTTAAGAATCGAGGTAAGTTTTGTGTAGCGCATTGCATGGCGATGGTGTTTGGAGACTAGGTTTGTAACAATATCATATTAAATCCTCTATCAACTTACGTCAGACTAATATAAACATCGTTAAGCTCACCACAAGTCTTCACTGTACACGTGTGCTAGCCTCTACGAGATAACGGCACACTACATTGCTCGTAGCACGTATCATGTACGTAGCACGTACGTAGTGCTACGGATCGGGTTTCGTACTCAGGGTTATAAGTTGAATAAAAATCGAATGAGGATGAGCTCAGATTTATTTGAATTAACAATGACGTCTCCAATGCCACAAAACTCCATGAAGTAAGAAAAGAAAAATTAATGAACATCTATAAAAGTTGTAATAATTATAATTAAGCTAAATTTATCACTATTTTTACAATGTCATTATGTTTTTTTTCTTAAACCACAATAACACTTTACCATTGCTCTAAAAGCATTAAATAATCCAAGTCACACAAATCTAACAATTAATTACTAACTATATATTTTGTATGGTTTACTTTGCTCGATATACAAATAGATCACCGGCGACACGCGGTCTCTCCTCACCGGGAAAATACACTTAAAACAAGAACATTAATACTGAATCCGAAGCGAACAGCTAAAAATTATTTTGGTAATTAAGCCATATTAATAATTAGTCTAAGAATTAACAATAAAAATAACATTTGAATAATGTAATTGCGATAAGTGAACAGAATGCGCGCGAGGTTCGGCCGCGTCCGACGCGCGCGACACAGTACACACTACCAATCTCCGTCTACGAAAACAACACTTAGCCGGTATTTTATACTCCGAACGATTATTTTGTTTCATTATTCTATCCATACGTATCTCCTAAATTAGAATTTAACTAGATTTATTAAGGGGCACAGAATTGATATGTTTCCGATACACGGCGTTTGTGTGATACCGCTTCACTTAATCTAACTTGCAAGGCGATGCTAACACCCCTGCACTGGCCTGTCGCACGTCGCACATCGCACAGCGCACGCGGGCCATGTCACGCGTCCGAATTCACTCTGACACACCGACCACGCTCCCACCACAATCTACTCGATGCCACAGTCAGTTAACGTTAACAAAATACGCACAACATATGTATACATACATCCGAAACGCGAACAATATCTCATCGAAAAATCGATACTAACGTCACAAACGAATCCACAGACAGAGTTCAAGCGAAGGTCAGTATGAAAGAAGAACGCGCGGCTTCCAAGCGAGGAACGTTTGTAGAAATTGAAAGAGCAACGATAGCGTGACATGCAGCCGATTGCATTACAAGTACAAGACGAGGATACAGAATAAACGTCTCTATGAAACCGCTCTTTACTTCTAATTACATATTAATATTACGATGATATGTATCGAGTAGTCCCGCAATAGGTGACGTAGCCGTGTCCGCAGCCACTGGACGTCTCTTACGCGCTATCTACGGTCGTTGGACGGAATCATGGCAGCGGCGGCGTCCGATAAAACGTTTACCTCCTTAACCAAAACTCATGGATAAAAGACAGTGTAAAGTTTAAAAATGTAGCGTTCTAAATTTGAATTTAAAATAAAAGAATTAGTTTGAAAATGTTGAAATACAAAAAAATCAAGAAGTTTATGTTGTATTAAATTATGTTGTTGGTTTCGTTGTATTTTCAAAAGGGACGCCGCTCGCCGTAAGTTGGGAGATCACTACTACACTATTACACAATTACTTACACACGAATTAGCATTACATCGAATTAAATAAGTAAACATTGACTTAGCTTAATTACTAAAATCGACAAGGATTTTCACGAAGGGAACCGACATCCTGATAGTGTAAATTGTGGCGTACCGTTCTGAAATAGATAAAAATTGCACATAGTTCACAGCTGTTAGGTAACGATGATCTGTGACCAGACGTATTGCGTACATGCAACCTGTGTAAGTTCACACAATATTTGGAACTGGTATGGAACAGAAGATAGCAGAGATTGTAGAAAATCGTTACGATAGTACGTGCATCTTATAATACGTGTTTGGTACGGTCTGAGGTTAGTAATAAAATTATGTATATCGTTTATCTTTGGTCTATACGCAACGACGCTCGGTATAATGTGAAAGTCACATCACTATAAACGATGTATAAAATTTTGCTAAGTCAAAAAATTGACGACATTTTTATTAAATATTGACTAAGAAACTTTTCATAAGAATTCACATGCGGATTACACTGGTCTTCTGACGACATCTGTCGTGTGAATAACTCATTGATTTCCGTCGAGTCAAGATTTTAATCCGAATATCCGAAACCTTATAATTACAGACTAAGCAGGGATTTTTTTTTACGTTTTTTTCAATATAATTTTTTTACATGTTTACATCAGCAGAATACGTCACTAAATCTATAATACAAACATCAAGGTTTCATTTTTGGTTTGCTGCCGTCTCGCGTGTCGTGTACTTATCATCACCTCCCCGTCATCGTGACATTGAAGGTAACTCAGTAACTGAACAGATCTTCATATATATAGTCAACTAGTTAAAAATAAAAAATATATTAATCTTCCATTTCATTAAATACTAACACTTGGGTAAATTTAACTTCATTACATTCCATTATTATGTACGAATAGATTTCGTTATAAAGTAATGTAACTTTGCTCATCGTCTACAATAAATACCCTTATCTAATTATAATATTCATCTAATGATTACACAATAAAAGTAACTACTAAATATTTAAATTAGATTATTACCAAAAAGCTCGTCCAAGCATGCAAATAGAATAACCATTTTCACTATACAGCGTGGCGCGCGGCTCGCCGTACACAATATTATATACTATTAATTAATATAGAGATTACATTTAGTTATTTAACTCTCATAAGGCCAAGGCTAAATTCTCGCAAGGATACGTGACGGGCCTCAAGGGCGCCTCGGGGGCGCCGCGCTGGCGCCGCCACGCATTGCACTTCACAGGGCGACTCCGAGGGGCGCACTCCTCTTGTCGTATAGAATTTACTCTACAATTACAATTATTGCAATAATTCAATATAATCGATAGAAAGGAAACGCGAGACCAACACTAGAGTGCCAGCGCGATTAACGAGTGATCGAACATTATAAAAATGACTAAGAAAAGCATTTAGGTAAATATAATTTGAAATAGTCATGAGAAATTTATTTAAATATGCTAACATTATCGCGACTAAAAACAAATGTATCGTAATTATTACATACAACTTTATTAAAAATCATTCAACTTGAAATATTATATAACAAAACGTAATTTTTCTATGAAGGGCACCTTTGGTTTTTAGCTTACTCGAATGTGATATTATCCTAAAATGTTTTTATTTTAATTTCTGGTATTACGCTATATTCATAACAAATCCTCTAAGTTGTAAACATCGGCCTCGTAAAAACTAATATACAAAAATTTCCCACAAAATAAGTTAGTTGTAAATAAATCTTATATTACATAAAATGAATATTAACTATTATTTGTTTTGCAAAAACAGTTTACATTTAAGGGATAAAATAATTTCAAATAATATAATCATGAACGGTAAACAATTCAACTGGAATGTTAATGATAATACAATAATATTTATTCTAAATTTGGTATCAACAAAATACACCACACACACACAGATATACCCCTGACGCGATTAATATTGTAAACAAAAGTATAAGGAGATGAGAGCATTGGCTACCGCTAGTGCAGTCGCAGCGCCGACGCAATGTTCTTGATCCTGATCAACCGTAGAAAGGGCGCGCGTAGCAGCAGCAAGCCCCATCTCCGGCGACGGCCCCGATGCCACTCAGAGGATCAAGATGGCGCGTCCCTCAGTTAGCTGGTTGTCAAGTGCCGAGAGCCACGAACGAATTAATGTTGTTCGCCCTCTTCTCCGCCTTTGGCTCCCTGTCGGTGGCGAATTGAAACATTAGATACAAAGAAACGACAAATGTGTTGATTATTGTTATGGTTAATCTATTCGTATACTTTTGAAGCAGGTAAGTGTCGTTAACTAAAGTGCACGGTGCAGTGTGATAACGTCATTTGCATATCTCGGTATATTGCACTTTGGAAACCATATACGACGAGGGATAGACTAAACGTAATGGCAATATGAATGTAATTATTTTATGGCATCCAAAGCTTCATTAAAGTTGATGACGAGCGGATTCCGGTCGTTTCAAATGGCAAACAACATAAAAGTGGTAGTCGCAGAGATGCAGAGGTTGATTGTGATAAGAAATGAAGAAGAATCAGTTCGTCAGCAACGCGATTGAATGTGCTCGTGCATACTTCATGTGCGAGAATCCAGCCGTTGTGTGCCAACTTATGCCTCGCGAATTCGAGGTGGATGGCGCCCTCCGAGCTGAGGAGTAGTGCCCCCTGCAGGCGCGCCATGGCGGCGGCCGCCTCGCCCGTGCTACCGAACTCCACGAAGCCCACGGGCCCCGCCCCGGCCCCGCCGGGCCCGCAGGCCCCGCCGCCCCCGGCGCCGCCCCCCACCAGCCGCAGGCGCGCGAAGCCCGGGCAGCTGTCACCACCACATTCAGTGTTGCCCGCACTCGTACCTCTCGGGGCCTTTTTCCTATCATGCGAGTTTTAGCCCACGTGCAGAGGAAAAGTCATCGCGGATTAGCATTAGCAACATTTGGAGTTCAACCTTCATAGCAATGTATAGTACTAATAGTCGCTAAAGTAGACAAGCTGTCAACGCGCAGGCATGTATACGTGCCTGCCGTTCTTACTCGCTTAATCATTTACCGCGTGGAGTCAACCCGTGAACCATCCCTAAATAAATTATGTGGATGTCTAATGACAAGGCGACGGGACGGTGGCGGTGACGGGTGGTTACAGTAAACCTGGTTGGGCCTTTGAAATCACACATGACAGGAAAAAGGCCCTCAATATATTGGTGTTTGTTGTGTTGTCAAGCGTCAATTATAATTTGGATTGTGTTTATACGGCATTTTTGATAAAGTATTTGCCAGTCAATTTTTTTTACTGGAATACATAGAAATTGTTAATTTTTTAATTAAAAAAAATTATATAAAATAGTTTTGAATTCCATTCAGCTACTTTTATAACAAGTGAAGAAGTAAAGAAATATGGTATGTAGTAATCATCTTAATATAGGTAGCTACATAGTTATATTTTCTTTCCAAGTCATATGACGATTGACAAAAAATCAATTATTATTTAAGTGTAAGTGCATTGAATGATGTTGACGTTTGTGCTTTACGTAATAATGTGTGAGTGAAAGTATTGCCATGCTATATAGTGGTACGGGTGCAGGCCCTATCTCATACAAACTGTTATTAATATGAGTTTGTATGAGACATCGTACTGACATTAATACCCAATATTAGCCGAAATTGTGATATTCGGTGCGACATGCACTGTGGAAAATACAGTCACATTTAAATTAAATATTAATAATTTCGATACATAAGGTGTAAGTTTATTCTACATTAAATTCCATTACAAAATAGAGATCGACTTTTTGAGTAAAAAAATCATAATTAAAAACAATTGACTGCTGAATTATTAAAAGAAAATAAACTACAACCTTTGGTATCAATTTAAAATAATTTTGTTACCATGCATATTAGAGCACATAGTATATTTTATATTATAAAATAGTACATATTCATTGAATTTGAATAAAATATTTTCAAGTCAAGAATAAAGAACAGAAACAATCACAATAAAAAAAACTTATTAGATTAAAGTAAAATCCAATTGAAATTCACACATTTGAATAAATTGAACCTCCATTTCTATTTGCTATCCTAGTTCCTCCACATGTCATCGATAAAATATTTATTATTTCTAAAACCAAATTGTTAACAACACATTGTGTTTAGCTTCCTCTCAATACGTAAGATGACTAATATACTTGTAGTAGCTGTTTTAAGATACACCAGTTTCTCCATGAAATAAGGTCTTTGAAATGATTTTATGCTAAAACACATACCTGCTGAATATCTCCTTCAGCTCATGTTCAGAGACGAATTGTCCGAGGTTCGCGACGAAGAGCGTGGAGCAGGGAGGTGCTGGATGCGCCGGGTGGCCATGGTGCCCCGGGTGGCCAGGATGGCCCGGGTGACCGGGATGGCCTGGGTGACCAGGATGGCCCGGGTGGCCGGGGTGACCAGGGTGCGCGGGGGGAGCGGGCACTGCGGCGCCCGGCGAGCCCAGCGCCGGCGCCGGCAGGACGCACGCGCCCAGCGTCAACGGGGTCTATAAATAATACAATGTTATGTATTTTCATCCACCGCGATGTGACCGCGTTTTACACATTGTCGAGGCAGTAAACAAGTTTCTTAAATAATCTGTCCAGCGATCCTTCGAGCAATTCCTTTCCATCATAAAAATAAATCTGGTCACTCACGTGGTGTGGCCTATCGGCGGCAGCTAGTCAGAGGTAGGAACGCACTGGCGCCATCTGCGGGTGGATGGCGGGGTGCACGAGACCGTGCGACAGCGCCGGCAGCTCGCCACCATACGCCAGCGGATGGTGCCACAGCTCGCCACCGCCCGGGAAGAACGGACTCGCTAGGTCTACACCCACAAACCACAACTCAATATTCATACTTCGTAAACAATAACAGAATAAATACACATTGTAGCTAATTTCTTAACATCTAAATTATATGGACCTTATCATAAACCTATAATAAAATATTGCCTATTATAAACATTTGATAAACTAGACAAACGATGTTTTTTTATAATACTTAGCTAAAGTTAATGTGTTTTAAGGATTGTTTATTTTCATTTCATAAATGTATATAACGTTGAAATGGATAGAAAGATCTTTTTGACTTCTGGTTAATTAAATATTATACATATAAGCAATATTTACATTATCTTAAAAACAAGTTTTTCATAATAAAATTTTACCTAAGCAAAATTCACTTCGGTAAGACAGTTCAGTTTATGTTATTGCAATGTGAACAATTAGCTTAAAACATTTACTATAATAAAGGATAAAATAGTAGAACCCGAAAAGTACACTTTAGGTTTTAGCTTCACGGAGCTAGGCTTGCGTGGTCGTGTAAGCGATAACAGGTACTGGCCCAAAGTCGTGCTTTCACTCGACTAACACACTAATTATTAAAACCGATCATTAATTTACAATGGCTTGTATAATTATTGGCCTACTGATTAATCGCGTTTGTATAGTCGCCTTCGTTAACGGTGTTCCAGTTACAGAATATGCTTTGTTAGCATCTTGCATCAAATTGAAATAATTAGGGTGCATAACCACATACTTTGATTAGATAAAAAAAATAGTGTGGGTCATCTGTTCTGTATCTTAATCTATTATGTAGTGCGAAACACATCTTTTACAAGATTAACCGACCTTTATCGTTTAAAGGTGTACAACGCGTCCAAACGATTGTCACTTTTAAAGTGGAACACCGCATAAGAACACGACTGTACAATAAAAATGCTTCCAGTTTGAATACAACGTAGTAGATATTATTAGGTTGGTGTCGGTTTGCAGAGGAGATCGAGGCAACTGGAAGTGATTGTGTCACCGTGCGGGTAGTCGAGCGAAGGCAGGCGATTGTGCGTGTGTGGGACTGTGACCGTGGGCCGTGGCTGTGGGAGTGTGGGTACTTACGTCCGGTGAGAGGGTGCATCAATGCGGGGTGTGCGGCCGGCGCGGCTGTGGCAACTGCCGGCTTCGGCTTGCTGACCTTCGTGTTGCTTTTAGCGAACTCCAGCCGAATCGTTTGCGGCATGTCTGGGTCGAACCGGACGCCCTGCTGTGAACAGCCGCAGCGGCGCGGCGCTCCGATATAATGACGATGGAACGGTCAGACGCCGCGCGGCGAAGCTCGCCACAGATATGTGTTACGACGCTCCGAATACTGTCTGTACGCTTATTAGGTGCTTTATCTTCATATACTACGAAACGGTTCGTAGTCAGATTTATATTTAAATAATTTTATGTATGATTCAAAAGTCGCACCCGCGCCTGCTAATGTGACGGAACACAGTGCTCAGGGTGAGGCGTCAAACCTGTCAAACAGTGACATGCAGTTGCATATTTACACCGTCTAACTGTCTTCCGGCAGCGTGGGAGCCGCTTGCGGTCCGAGTTCGGCGTCGACCGCTCAGTATGTGCATGGTTTTAGCATAACTTACGATGCGGTTACTTGACTCAGGAAATGTTATTTCAAGTCTACTATGAGTATATTAACTATAGTGCTGCTTGGCTGTGTTGAGGCATGTGATGCGAAGAGGTTTAGTAACACCGTGCTTTGTATTCCTTTTATTATTTACAAATAGCATAGTTCTTTCTCCGTACGAGAACAAGAAGAAGTTATGTGATACTGTTAAATTATTTTAAGCGTATTTAAATATAATAAAACATCTTTGATGAATAGGGTTTTAGTTTCGTTTAAATAATCATAATCGCATAAATAGCTGTAGATATAATAAATGTAATCTATCAAACCATAGAAATGGTAATAAATATTAAATAATTATTCCATTTTATAGATAAATATTATGAAATTCAACTCAAAAAGTACACATAAACAAATGTCACATACAGTCTGAACTATTTCTTGTTACTTGTGCACGCGCACATCGAATGCCTACCGATAATTCCATAGCCGAATAACGGATTAATAGGATTTTTTTAGTTAATTACTTTGAAATAGCAGTTTTAACATTTCAATGGATATGAATGTAGTAAAATTGTTATTTGAAATGTAGTTATTTATAATTTTTGTTATTAGTTTGAATCGTATTGATATTTATGTAATATGTATATTTATTAAGTGATAGATCGGTGATGTATACCAACCTGAAGGTCTTGTTTAGCTGCCTCGGCGCCTGCTCTGGTGTGGAAAGTGACGAAACCCACCGGCTGCAAATAGTGTAAACTTTATTATTATGACAACGTAATTACTAAACTAAATATTGTGAGTTTATTAACCACTTAATAAAATATAGACCTGAAAATAGTTCTTGAACAATTAGAAGTTTGAAAATTTAGAATCTATTGTTAAAAGTTGATTTTCCTATGGAAAGTAATAAAACTTTAATATTCATTTTTGTTTAAATGTTAAATAACAGAAAGGTAATTCCGACAAAAAAGATTCCAATTAATATTTCAAATAATCAGAAAAAAATCAAATGAATGAAAATTCAGATCACATTCTACTTGATAGGATTTAGAAAAAGAAAAATGGAACGGATAAGCTCGTCAAAAGTTCTCTGTCGAGTGTAGTTCGTTAATACAGCTCGTGCGGTACATTGAATGAGCCAACTCAACTATCCATATTTCGCAGGTACAGTCATCGTCGTTCGCAGTATTCCACATTGAAAGCGACAATTGTTTTTATGTGTTGTACGTCTTGAAACTTTAATGTTTATACGCATTTTTTTTACATACATTAGGGGACAAACGAGCAGCGGGAACACCGAGGTATTAATCGTTGCCCATGGACATCTGCAAGATCAGAGGAACCGCAGATGCGTTGCCTGCCTTTGAGATGGTAATACGCTCGCTTCTTGAAGGACCCTAAGTCGTAGCGGTTTGGAAATGCCGCCGAGGACAGACCATTCCACAACGCTGCTGTGCGAGGCAGAAAATTCCGCGAATACCGCACGGATCAAACGGATTCTAATTTGATCAAAACATCGATGGCATCCTAATCCAAAATTTTTCTATGTCGAACACCGCGTACGACGGCGACTGTACCTTGAATGATCCAACTTAACTACCCATATTCCGCAAACTCGCTTGCAATTCATTTGCACGCGTGCTCTTCAAACACGGAATAAAACCGACACCGGATTAAATAGACGTGCAGTATGACGAGCGGACGAACTGCAAGTTTATGTACAGATACTACAGAGTGTTCTCAAAAAATGTTTTATTGAGAGATTTTAATTGATACGATTTGATAGAATACGATTTTAAGACGAAAAAAATATTTCTGTAATTTTTTTATTCAAAATTTATTTCTAATTTTGCTTAATTAACACTTACCGAAGCTGTTTTTCCATTCTTACTGGTGACCTTTAGAAGCGATCCCTCGTAGCCCTGTTTAAAATAATTAGAATAAGTTAAAAATAAACACAATAACCTTCGCCTTATAAAAACATTTATAATCTCTGGGTGATATTAAGGAGGCTTTTATCCAACAATAAAACCAATTTTGATTGAAAATTAATGTTGTTTAAAACAGTAAAATAGGATTCATGCTGCACTTAGATATCAGTTTTATAATTTACATATGACGAGCATAGTAAACATTTTCCATTACAAAAGCAAACTTCATGTTGTGAAATTGCTTTCTTTGGTTAGTACCGTCACGTCATGGTGCAATCGAGGTTAAATACAACCTTCTAGATGGTGCAACCCCGTTCCACGTACGGACGTAAACACGCGATACACTAAAACTACCCCCCCGTTTAACTTCGCCCCTCGTAATGCTCGGTGCCAACCGTGCCAAGGAACGTAATCCCCCTTATCGTCAGACAGAATCGATTCAATACGAATATTACATATCGGAGCATGACATTTGATATTTACAACGCAGTAATCCAATCCGTTATCTCGCCAGTCGCGTGACGCAAACGATACAGTTGCTCAATCATATTTTTCTTGAATATTTGAATTTTTCGTGCAACATGAATGATAGATCGGGGATAAAGTTAGCTTAAAATATTAAACAATATAAAATATAGAAATCACCAAGAGTTTAGGAATATATTAGGACTATTTTAAATATATATTTGAAATATATATATAATGGTAATTAGTCATATTGATTAAGAGACTTACTCATACTAAAATAAATAAAAAGATTTTTCTTAAATAATATTACATCTTAATGACTAATTCTAATAAATGCCATAAATATCTCACCTCATATGCTCGGAATAGTAAGTATAATTCCCGTGGCTTGGCGTCCATGGGCAGGCCGCTCACGAACAACGTCCGCACCTGTAATGAAGTGATTCTCATTTTATTAACTTAATAAACAAAGTTTTGATACGGGATAAGTTTCACAGCTCATAGTTTCACCGTAAAAAGAATATTAATACTTGGAACTACGTTTAAATCTTTACCGGTATTCAACTTCACGTTTAATTAATTAAAAATATCACTAAAGTTTATAGTAATACACTTTTAATGTTATTAAAATCGATTATTAAAAAAAGAGGAAGATAGTTGTTTATTCTTTCTTTTCTTAGAAATTGAGTGGGATATTATCAAAATCAACACAAAGAGGCGAACAATCTTTCAATGCCGGTACTTCCCGATTATTTATCAGCTTTTGTAAACGTTTCAACGCATTAATTCGTCGGGTCCATTTAATGAAATAAAACAGAGTTGGTAATGGCTGCGAGATTTGCCGCGTGCGGAAAATGGAGATTAATTGCTGGTAACACCGGTCGCCTGCGACGCCAACGCCATCTTGTTATGCACTTTATTTATGCGTCTGAGTTTCCTTTTTAAATATCTGTTGTTTATACAAAAAAAAATTACCTATGAATTAATTTATATCAATATTTTAAAGACCTAGTAATTTTTTAAAGGTTTGAAAATTATCGCATATGTTTTTGCAACAATAGGTGCCAGTAGGAAAACCATGTAATGACACAGGGAGTGTAAAAACAGGTCTGTTTTATAAGTTCTGTTATAAATATCATCGAGGTTAAAGCACCTAGAGGGTGACATAAAGGGTGGCAAAGCCCAGGCTCTCGTATATATGTTTTATCGCTTCCGTCCTCCGGTCGTCCAGAATGTCGGACCTTTATGTCGGCTATTTTCCGGTCGAATGAGCGGGAATTCCCCCTGTCAATGATACGTGATATTTTTTGTAGTTATTTTCAATAATACTTTAATTTACATAAAAAGACATGAAAAATCTTAAAAGACTTTATTTTCAATCTTAAACAAAGACGGTAATAGATCTGGCATTTTAAAATAACTTGTGACTAATTAAGTAGATCTCAAAGAAAGAATGGATAATATTCTAGGAATAGATTTAAAATTTACTCAGAGAGGAAAGTATAGAAAATGTCAGATCGAGAACTTTGTTATTCAAACCTTTTCAAACAAATCACTTGATTAAATAATTTTTTTAATTATATTTGTACACCGGCTTGTAATGAAAAAAAAATACCCATGTCATCAGCGTCGCTAGTTTCAAAGCTAAAATTCTTAGAAATGATTTTCAAAACATATTTATTCTGACGAAAGTATAACATCGGAAAGAAAGAAAAATGTTCATTCAACTTGTTTATTCATTTGGCGTATTCTTATTTACAAAAAATACTTTTACAAATCTTCTTAATACCGCCAAGAAAAGACTTCATAAATATTTCTTAGAATCTTGTAATATAAAAAGCACAATAGAATAAGCTACACTCCGCTGAAGAGTATTATGTTGTTTTGTCCTGACCGTAGTCCTATCTTGATCGTTTGATTATTAAAAGCGAAAATTATTATTAAGAATTACGTTTTTATTACAAAGGCATTCGCAAGTTTTACGGCTTTTTATTTTAAATGTAACATACATATGTCACTGGCTGATAATATAATTTATTGTCAGTGGATTTATTTTGTTTTTTTTTGTTTAAATTAATGATACAAATATATCTTTTTTTAATCATCCTGTGATTACAGTCTTCGAATGGTAAAAGTCTATAAATGGGTTTGTTATATTTTTGACTACCATACTTTACAAAATTATTTTATTGTGCAAAAATATGT